TAATGCCAGTATAATCCCAGCACTTGGGAGGCTGAGACAGGAGTGCCATGAGTTTGAGGCCAGCCTGGGCTACTACATGGTGAGTTTAAAGCCAGTCTGAACTACATAGCAAGACCCTGTCTCAAACAAACTAACTCAGATTTTGCCTCCTCGGGCTAGTCAGTGGCTTTTGTGGCTCTTAATGTGTTTTAGCATGTTGGTAATTTTGTATTCTGTAGAATAGTTCTGTACCCAAAAATGCTGCCTTATACTGTTAATTTCCTTTAATTATTTCAGCATTGAACTTTCACTTTGAGTCCCGTGTTTGCAGAGCTTTGGCCATTGTTATGAAATCCTAGATTTTTGGCACTGATTAGGGCTTGCTAGAAGTAGAGAAAGAGTGGGGATTTTGGAGATCACACAATCCAGTTTTATTTTTGTTTTTGTTTTTTGTAGAGAAAGAAGCAGACTCATAGAAGTAATTGGCCCAGACCTGCAGTTGATGACAGAGTTGGGGACAGAACCCTTGGCCTGTTCAGTACTTTGCAGGTGGCTTTTGCCCTCTGTCCTAGAGCTCAAATAGTCTTATTCTTATGAGGACTCAGAAGACTGGGTTCCAACCCATTTATTACTAACGCATATGTTCACAAAGATCGTTTTGGCCCTCTTCATTATGCACTTCTGGGCTCAACAGGGCTAAATGTAGATTTAATTGAAAACATTGTAGAAGCTATATTGATTCCAAATGTATACTCAAAGCCTCCATGGTCAGTGAGAGAAGCACCTTAATATTTCAGAAACAGTTTTGATTATCACAGCTCTTCACCATAACTGTTTTCTTGACTTATACCTTTATTTTAAAAGTACCCTGTGGCATCAGGTTGTTGAAGCTTCATTCCCCTGTGGGATTCCTTTTCCATTTTGTCTGAAATCTGTCATTTTTCATTTTTTCTCCACAACTGTGGTGTTCACAACTATAAACTGATTGAGCGGTCCCCCTACTAGCTGCTGCCTTATTTATTTATTTTTTAAATGATAACAGTTTATTTGAAAAAGTAGAAGTGAAAAGCAAGGGCAAAAATGCAGTGCAGAGAGTAAGGTTGGGCCAAATAAAAAAAGGAAAAAACAAGATAAAAACACAGGCTGGGTTATATGAGAAAAGCCATGATAGGCCTTTTTTAAAAAATAAGCCATTTGTTAAGGCTTTTCTTCTTCTTTTTTAAGAAGTCATTTGTTGGGGCTGGGGATTTAGCTCAGTGGCATAAGAACCTGCCTTGCAAGCAGGCAGTCGTGAGTTCGATCCCTGGTACCAATGGGGGGAAAAAAAAAAAAAAAGAAGTCATTTGTTATTGTAACCTTGAGGTTATGGATACTATACCCATGTCTGGAGACTAGTCCAGTGGCTTTTTTTTTTTTTTTTTTTTTGGAGACAGGGTCTTATGTATTTCAGGCTGGCCTTGAACTGTTTGCTCCTGCCTCAGTCTCCCAAGTGCTGGGATTATAGGCACCACCACGTCTGACTGGTCCAGTGGCTTCTAAAAAAGTGCCCCTGCTGCTTATCACCTCTGACCCACTTCCTCCCTTCTCACTAACTTCTCTTCAGCTTCCCTAGTATCTTTTTGTTCTTCAAAAGCATCAAGCAAAGTGGCTGCTCTTGCTGCCCAGAAGCACCACTGCCTTCCTAGCAGTAGGCAACACTGGAGATATTTGCCATAGATAACAGCTTCATTAGATATTTTAGGAGCTCTGGAAACAGAGTTTTAAGTATCAGGAATTCTTCTATTTTATTTTTTTCAAGAATGCATTTTGCATTCTTAACATTTGCTGTGAGCAAAACCTTCATATAGTAGAACCATTGTTTTGAACTAAACCGGATAGTGGCTCACCACTGTTTCCTACTTGACAGAAAACTTCGTGGCGAGGGATGTAGCTGAGTGGTAGAGTGCTTTGCTAGTATGCAGTGAGGCCGCGGTTCTGTTTGTAGCCACTGAAAGAAAAAAAAGGAAGAAGGGTCCTTGCAGTTGAGCTATCATTACTATTCCTATATGTAGCTGATCTTGAGGACTACAGGCCTTATAAACATGAGGATCTTCTGATTTATTTTTGTAATGAATTTTTATTATTTAAATGAAAGATTGATAGGGGAGCTCAAAATAATTTTGTTGATACTTTTTCCTGAAAGAGTTCAGCCCTCAGCAAATAGGGCCGGGGATTTAGCTCAGTGGCGTAAGTGCTTGACTGATTGGTCCCCGGTACCAAAAAAAAAAGAGCAAATAATGTACTTTGTCCCTTTTTCAAAAAAATGTAGTATTAAAGTCACTTTTAATCACCATTTACCTGTTCTGGTCTCTATTCCCACCATGACTCTGATCCTAGAGTCTACCTAAAATACTGTTGCAACTTTGATATATTTTTAGTACAGTTTTCCCATACTCACAACATGGGTGAGGAGTATTGCTTTGTTTTAGTCTACTTAAATGGCATGACAATGGAAATGTATCATTTTGCTTCTTTAGAGCTTTTTCCTTTTTTTTTTTTTTTTCGAGACTTTAAAAAAACGATTAAATACCTTTCAATCTCTCCAAGTTGATTCATATTAGTGTAGTTCACTGTGTTTGGCTGTGTAGATTCCCAAAAGGGGGTTATAGTTCTATAGTTTTAGTCCTATTGATAAGGGTTGGATTTTGACTCATTGGTTTTACAAACAGTGCTGCTGTAAATATCCTCACAGTCATCTAGGACATCCATAAGTACTTTTCCAGGGTCATACAGAAATTTTCCCCTAATTTTCCCCATGTATGAATGTATGTAGGTATGTAGGTATGTATGTATAGTTTTTATGTTTTTGAGACGGTCTTGGCTCTGCGGTTCAGGCTGGCCTTGGGCTCACTTGGGCTCACAGGCTGGTCTCAAACTTGGAAACAATTCTCCTGCTTTAGCCTCCCAAGTGCTGGGATTATAGGAGTGCGCCACCATGCCCAGATTTTGATCTTTTTAATATTAAAATTTGAACATTTCTATTAGCTAATAAGTCTCTTTATAAACCACATACTCTGAAGACAAGACTTTGAAACATTTTATTTTCTTAGTGAAAAATTAATACTGGACATAAGGCTGGTTTTTATTTATTTGAGACAGGGTCTTGCTGTATAGTCCAGGCTGGCCTCAGCCTCCCTAGTGCTGGGATTCCAGGTATGAGCCACCATACCTGGCATCACAAGGCTGTTTTGACAGTAAAGTAATTTAAATGTTGTAGAGTTGTCTTTCTTCCTCATTCATTCATTCATTCATTTTCTTAAAACCATTTATTTTGAGCATTTATTTTGAGACCAATTGTTGAAGTTGTGAAGATGAACTGGAATCTGCAGCAGCTGCTCTCTTGGGTTTAGGTGTCTTGCTTTCATGGAATCCATGCCTGAATCTGCAATGTATAGTTCTTAGGTGCCTTGTTTGACCTGTCCTGGTGTTCTTTTAATCTTGGCACTGCAGTTATACTTTCTTTTGTGCTTGGCAGGGTAACCACAGTCACCACTGGTTGACCTCTGCAGGTGGTTGCCCTAGAGCCACCCCAGTGATACACATCTTATTAGAATGCTTTCCAAACAATGACATTGCTTGGTCAGCTCTCTTCTGCTACCAAGACTAAAAATTCTCAGGGTTGTCTTGACAGTAGTGGATGAAATTTGAAACTATTTTAAAACAGGATTTAAAAACAGAAATTAGAAGCAGGATTAGTACATGGTGTGGCTTGAGCAAGGACTGGAATACCAGAAGTCTTATGTTCTTTTCTAATTCCACAGAAGTGTTTTAAGATTTTAGAAAAGATCTCTGTAGCAACTCACTTGAGGCTTGTCCCCCATGTGCAGCTGCCTCTGGATCTTTCCAGTCTTTTCCTTTTTGTGTGTGTGCTCTCCCTGCTGGTTTTGAATTTCTCTAGCTATGTTGGTACTTCATACATGTTGCCGTTATTTCTTTCTGTCTCTTACCTGTTGATACAGTGGCCTTGCCCAGAGTAGTGCTGTCCTCGTTTCGTTACCCTTTCCCTTCGTACATGCTGCCATGTAGGTGCTGACCATGTGTGGTAAGAAACGCTGTAGGATAAGGTGAGGGAATGGGGCTGTACACAGCGATGGTGAGAGCCTTAGTAAAAAGCCTGGATTTATTGCAAGTGTGGGATGGAATAAAGGAGTTGTAAGTGAGGAAATGATGAGGACCACAGAATGGCAACTTCGATCTGCTTTAGAGCTCTGCTTTGAATATGGTTTGCTATATATGTACATACTAATTAAGTCACTGGTTTCAAGTTAGAAAATAAATTAATTGCTCCTTAGAATGTTGAATCTGTGTTTGTTTTTCTAGGAATATCTTTTAAAAAGAAACTTAAATTCATTACACATACAGCCATCTCAGAATTTTTTTAACTCCTCGACTCATTTCCTGGTTGCCTCAATTTTAATCAAAATTGAGTTTCCTTGAATTAGTGGACTAAAATTAAGTGAAATATTTTGGTCACTGTTCTTTTGAAATCCTCTGTGGTTTGGAGTGTATCCCTCTAGCAGCTTCATTCATGTTCTGCACACGGTACAGCTAAATGATGCCAGTAAACGAGCTTCAGAAGTTCACGTATAGAACCTCAGTTTAGAGCTTGAGCAATAAAACTGTTGGATGGGAGCCTCAAGAGTGAAGTCTCTTAATTTTGTCTTGACACTAGTTATAAATCATTTAGTATTATAAATTCTAGAGCAAGGGTCTATAGCTCAGGAAACAATTGCCTTGTGAGATTATTTTATATAAAAAGCTGCATTGCTCCCAAAGTTTGCCCATAATAGAATTCTTAACTTTAGTTTATTGAAATTGTCAGGAGAATATATAATATTTACCACTAGCCAAAGATAGGAGGTTGTAAATGATTTATGACAATTACCACCTTTTTCCAATACTGACATTGTTTCCAGAAATGACATACATTGACTCATTGTTCTTTGGATATTTTTGCTGCTAATTAACATCTCTTTTTACAGGATTCATGAATAAAATTTTCCATCCCAACATTGACGAAGCGTAAGTAACTATTTAATAATGTTTACATTTTAGCAGCAACTGCTCGATCAGAGTGGATCTCTCTCTCTCTCTCTCTCTCTCTCTCTCTCTCTCTCTCTAATAAAAGAACCCTCAGTTATTATTTTGGATTTTATGGGAGGCAGGGCTCTATGAATGGTCATTTGAACTATAGAATCCTAACGATATAGTATTCCAAATTACTGTTCCAGCTAGTACACTGTTTAGTTTTTTCTCCATTGTTATGGCTGGATCTTTCATTTCCCTCACTATCCAGGTAACATTTCTAATATTCCAATATTCAGTTTATTATATAGGCACAAGTCAGTGACCCTTTTTCAGTTTACAAATTTACTATTTTGGCTGGGGATTTAGCTCAGCGGCATAAGCACCTGCCTTGTAAGCAGGCAGTCGTGAGTTCGATCCCTGGTACCAATAAAAAGGAAAAAGACAAAAAAAAAAAAAAAAAAAAAAAATTTACTATTTTGAGCCCTTAAGGTGCTTCTTAGTTTTTCAAAGAAAGGCTAATGTGAATGATTAGTTCCATTGCAATCAATGACTCTTAATTATTTCCTTTCTTTTCTTCTAGTATTTTATTAGTGGCTTTGCCATGTACTTATGCTGCTGAGCTAAATCCCCAGCCCAACTTTTTTTTTTTTTTGAAACAGAGTCTTGCTGTGCTATGCAGTTCAGCCTGGCCCTGAACTCACTATGCAGCCAAGACTGGCTTTGAACTCTGGGATTATAGATATGTACCACCATTTAGTGATATTTTTGAATGATTCTGCTCTAGCCTATTTTGTCCTCCCAGTGGTATTTAGAATATATGATTATTTGTACTGGATTATTTTACTTTGCATTGCATTTGGTTTTGCCAATCATCACTCAATTTACATACGAGAATTGTCTCATCCTTTGTAAGTTGTATACATATGTCTTGCTTTTTATTCTTTACTTTTTAAGAGTATCAGTCATCCTACTTAGCAAGTATGTTCTCTTTTGTAACCAAAGTATAGACATTAAATTTAGCAATTTAATACTGTGATAATTTTTTACCTGATATACTACCATATTACAGTAATGTGTGAGTGGTTTGTTTGTGGTTGGTTGGTTGGTTGGTTGGTTGGTTTTAGACATACTGGCCTTGAACTTATTATGTACCTCAGTCTGGCCTTGAACTGGTGGTGATTCTCTTGCCTCAACCTCCTGAGTGCTGGGATTACATGTGTATGCCACCATGTCCAGCAGTTAATGTACCTTTTGCCACCCTTTTTTTCTTTTAGGAAAAGGATTTAGTCTAGAATCACATTGTAATGACTTGTGCTTCTTTACACAACTATACTGTGGAACAGTCCCTCCTCTTGCTTTTTATAAAGTTGACATTTTTAAAGACTATAGGCTGGTTACTTTGTAAATTGGCCTTCAATTTGAATTTGCTTGTTTGTATATTAGATTCAGGGTATGCACATGCTTCATCACACAGTAGAGTCTCTGCCCTTTGTTTCCAGTGTTAATTCTGATCACCTGGTTACCATTTTCCTTTTCAATCTGTTCAGGGACACTTAGGGCCTTACAAATATTCTCCTCATCATACTTTCTCCCAATTTGGGTTTTGTTTAGACTTTTAAGGATTTGTAAAAAAAACATTTCAAGTAAGAATTAATTGCCAGATACATGCAACTGACTGATTTTTTTAATGCTATTCTTTCCATCTGTTTCAGGTCGGGAACTGTGTGTCTAGATGTAATTAATCAAACCTGGACAGCTCTTTATGGTGAGTTTGCCATGGATATTTTTTGGAGATATTGAAACACTGCTCAAAGTAATGTTGTTTGGCTTTCCTGATTTAAGAAGTTTTGTTGGGAATGGCAAGTGATTTTGAGGAATGGATGGGAAAGGTTTTAATTTAATTTATTGATTTATTTTTTCCTAATCCATTTTATTTCAAGGAGAGAAAAAAACCTAAAAATTTCAAAACGTCAATTGGGGCAACAATGTAGATGGGAAAGTTTGAATGAAAAAAAATTCTTTTCCTCCAAGTATAAACTTCAGTTTAACAGTGCAAGTTTACAGTCTCTTTTTTTTTTTTTTTTTGTCTTTTTCGTTTTTATCGGTACCAGGGATCGAACTCACGACTGCCTGCTTGCAAGGCAGGCGCTTATGCCGCTGAGCTAAATCCCCAGCCCCAACAGTGCAAGTTTAAAATAATTCTATGAGATTCAGAACTTAGGGTTGTTGTAGTCTATACATAATACATATCCATAAACATTTATGTATGTGTGTATTAAAGCGCATTATATGCATATTTATATGTTTACCATTTAATGTTGGAAAAACTCTTAAAAATGTCTCCTAAATGAGATGAATGATACAATAAGAGGTCCCAGGAATCATCTGTTTCAGAAGCCAAAAGCTCCTTAAGAAGCACAGTGATTTAGCCTTTCTCTTCAGGGCCAAAATTGATAACTCATCTCTTACAGTCAATCAACAAATAAATTACCCAGCTCAAAATTCTATGCTGAACATCATGGAGAGAAAAGAAATACTTGGCCTTTTCTCCTTGAGCTATAACTGCTTAGGGAGTTGAGAATTTGTTTTAAATATAATAAAGTTAGAGATGCAACAGCTGGGCTTATTCTGTCTCCATTGTTCAAGTCCTCAGCTTTGTAGACATCCTGTGCTCTGATGCCCCCACTCCATGCAGCTTCCCTGATTCTCCTACTAGCAGTCATCTCTAGGTATCCTTACATTCCATGGCTCTTTCTTGTGGTTCATTTTTACTTTTGTACATTGTATGTGTTGTTTTACCTACTTTTTTTGTCCACTAGATTTATTTCTTACCTGAAGGGCTGTCAAGTAAATGTCTGATTTGTCTTTTAAGTCCTTGGTACGTCTCAGCAGTATGAGTTGCAAGAATGAGTAGTACATGTGACAGTTATTGAAGGGCACAGGAAGATGAAGAAAGATGACTTGTATATCGCTGGGCTTAGCCTGGGATGGCTTCCTTTAGTTAAAGCATGGTAAGATCTTTAAATAGTCTACAGTGGAAAGGCCTCTTGACTTACCCACAGCCTGAGGGTCAACTTTGTCAACCTTGTACCAGATGGTGAATGAGAATCAAAGAGGAAGGTTGGTCAGCCGCAGAACAGTTAACTCCTCCACCTTAATTCTGTCATTTAAAAATCATTTTCCCTATCTAGAATTCTTTTAAAAAACTATTACTTATTATGATATCCTTTTGAATTATAAATGTCCTGAAATTGAGGACTTCACTTTTTCTTGTCTACACACACACACACACACACACACACACACACACACACACACAGATCTAAAGCAGAACCAGATGTACAAGAAGTACTCAACTGTTTGTTGGTTTAATGAATGCATTAACTATGCTCAATACTATTTAATATGAAAGTTTTAAGGAGCAAGTGTCATGGGAGATGAGGCAATAAGAGAGAACATGCACTCTGAAGTTGATTAGATTCTTTTTAAGATTGTTCTTTGCTTTTTTTTATGGTTAAAAAAAGTGTCATGGCAGGCTGCCTGGAATATCTGATGTAACAAAGTGTTTTCTTAAACTACATTCACATTTTGGAAATGTACATAGCAAGATACTACAAGCTGGTTCCAATTACAATGAAGTAAATTAGGCTTAGTTTCACTAACTCTTTTACTACTGACTAGAAAAGCTTCCTAGGAGAGGTCCTGAGGTACCTTGTATCTTAGAAGAATTTTCTTAAATGATGGCTTTATTAAATTATATAAATAAGTAATTCAGTAGTTTTTAGTGTAATTATAGTTATGTACAACCGTTACTGTAGTCGATTTTAGAAGATTTTCACTGTCTCAAAAAGAAATTGATACTCTAGCTTAGCTATTCCCCTGTCTCCACCCCATGTACCTCTATCAGCCCAGGCAACCATTAATATCCTATTTAGTTTGTGTAGATTTGTCGGTTCTGGACATTAGTTGTCAATGCTGTTATATATAAGATGTGGTCTTCTCTGACTGGCTTTGTATATTTTGTAAGTTTTCAAGGTTCATCTGGTTATAACATGGATCAGAACTGCCTTTTGTGGCTGAATAATATTTCATTATCACCACAATTTATATGTTTGTCATATTATGGACTTCTAGGTTGCTTATACCTTTGGGCTATTAAGAATAATCTGTTGGTAAATAAATCTTTGAGGGTTTTTTTGGCAGAGGGGACAAAGTGTCAGTATGTAGTCCAGGCTAGCCTTGAGCTCATTGCAAACCTCCTGCCTCAGCCTCCTGAATGCTGGGATTACAGGCATGTGCCACCATGTCTGTACCATTTTTACATTCCCATCAGCAGCTGTATGACCAAGGTTTAATCATATTTATAACATGTTGTCATATTAGTAAGAGTTAAACCATATTGGTAAAAGCAGATTTCCGCATTACATGTGTATGAGTTATTCTGAGTGTTTCACAACAAGAATATGGACACACTAACACTATAGGAAGGTGCAGGAAAACAAAAACATTTTCAAAGTGTAGTGAAAAGTATGCTGAACATGAGAGAATTGTTCTGACTTTTTATTCAAAATTATTTCTCAAAAAATTTTACATTCATGGAAAGTTTTAGGAGCAGGTGAATATACTTTATATAAAAGTAATGATAGAAACTAAGCATGGTGGGAGCCTGAGAGAGGAGGATCACCATGAGTATGAGGCCAACCTGGGTTACATGATGAAACTCTGTCTCAAAAAATAATAATAATAATATTAGAAAAAGTTGGTTCAAATGACCTTGAAGTATATATTTTTTTAGTCCTATCTGATCTTGAGATCTGAACTAAATTTTTATTACAAACTGCTAACGCCTCTGGCATTGAAAGTGAGTCTTGAATCGCTGTTTCCTGCAGTGATTCTTAAAGAGTCTCAGTTTAGAGGACCAAAAAAAAATCGCCCTAACTTCATACTAAGAACAAATAGAGAAAGTTGGCATGTTAACATAAATATTAAACTGAAAAGCAAAAGGTAGCGTGGCACCTGGAACTTGTTTCAACACCTACCTCTACTGTACAATCCGGTGAGGAGCAGAGTTGATTGTGAAATTTCTTGTGGTTTACTTTGCCCTCAGCGTGTACCATCTAGTGGGCGTAAGAATGTGTAATAGAACAGTAATTCTCAGTTGAAGTTTCAGACTTAACTCTTATCAGGACCTAATACTAACAGTGTCCATGTTAACATTAAATTGAGTTCTCTGTCCAATTCCTTCCAAAGAATGTTGATTTCGGGTGGCCCATTTGACACACTGCTGCTGTTCTCAGTCAGTGTTCTCTTTGCCAAGTGCATGCAGTTTGTTCACTCAGGAGTCCAAAACTGTATAATATAGTTAATTTTGTAAAAATGCTTATTATCAATATGAAGTTATCAAGTATGAAGTTACTTATGATATATTCATGACACTAAAACAGATGACAGAATTGACTCATTTTTGGCTTCTTGTATGATAGCATCTTTTCTTACCTACCTTCTTGCTTTTCCACAAGTAGTGAGAAAAGCATTAAAAAACTTAAAATTCAGCCAAGAGAATCTGGATTTCAGTTTTAGAAACAAATGCAATTTTAAGGACTCATGGAAAGAGTTCATTTATTCATTTGTTTTCTAGTTTTCCGTCTTCTACAGAATACATTTTTGTCTACAGCTGATTTATCCTTCACTGCAGTAGTTCCAGTCTCTTGGTGGTTTGACCCCTGCACATGTGTTTCTCTCTCAGCTTTTGTTACATTTATGCTTAGCTGACTGGTAAATTACTTACATTATGGACAAGTAATGTGGTTGACTATTTTCTTATAAAATTGGAGCAGTTATCATGTCTTACTGTTATAGTCCTTAACCAGTAGATTAGACACTCCTACTGTTACTTTGCTGAGGAGGAAAAATCAACATTTTGAATGTTACTTCACTTAGGTGGGGCACTAGTAACAGATAAATGAATTTGACTACTGACAGAATGTGAATAGAATTTAGAGATTAGGTAAGAGAAACAAAAGTTACTTTTATTAGGCATTCAGGAAATACTTAAACATTTATTTAGTCTCCTATTCCCCCTTTTAGCCAAGTAGCCTGTGAATCTTCTCAAATAATTCAAATTTGAAGGAATTGTACCTTAAAACAATGCCTTATTCCTCGTTAGTATAGTGGTAAAAAACAAAAAACTATGCCTTATGTGGCATTAGTGTGTGCTGTTTATGAACATTTGAATATAGTTAGTGACAAGAAGTCTTAGTATGTGTGTATTCATGGCTGATGGGCTATCCAGCTACCGTTTGAACAAACTCAGAAACTCAGTATTGATCCATCCATGTTGGAATCAGATTATCATTCCACTTTTGGAGCAGCTGAATGTCATCCTGAACCTTCTAGATACAGACCATATAGAGCAGTTTTTTTCCCGGTACACTTAAAAAATGTGCATTGTTTTAGATTTGCTAGTGCCATAGCCAAAACCCTTTACCTGCGTAGATGTCTTCAGAGGTAGTATTAATATGTGGCTCAGGAGTTCAATTAGTTTTTATCACAGAAAAATGGAGTCTTCTTGGGTTGAGCAACTTGCTTGAAAATTCATTAGAAATAACTGTGCTTACGAGTGGTCAGTTTTAGAACCAAAAAATGAGACTGGCTTTGTGGATCATGGAAAACAGCCACAGCTACATTTTGCTTTCTTTAGTGTTATAGTTTCAGGGTTCAAGTTCCATTTTCAGTTATATGGGAAAGTATCCCTGACTGGTTTTC